AGTTCTAGACAACGCCAAGTGCAGCTACGCACGAACAGTCCAGACAAGGGTTGAAAAGAAACAAATTGGATCCCGTGAATTCTGGAAGATCACCAACCAAATCATGAACAGAGTTAAAGGTAAGAAATAACAGGACAAAAGACGTACCCCTCGTGCCAGGATGCATAAAATCTAAAGAGGGAACATTTATGATAGAGAAAGAAAAAATACTCCAAAAATGGAGCAAGTACATTAGATAATGCTTCTCCAGTTAAAGAAGGAAACCTACAATACGCAAAAACGTGGACAGACTTGAAATATTAAGGTTTGAGGTAAGATCAACACTGAAGAAGATAATTGGGAACAAAGTAGCAAGACTAGATGGGTTTGCAATTGAGATACTATCAGCCTTAGACAGTTTTGGGATCTACAAGAATATGGAAATAATGAATGAAATACATATACACCAGTGGAATACCTAAGTAGGGCCCTCATCATACTGCTGCCTGAGAAGTCAAGTGCAAACGAATGCAAGCTCCATTGGACAATGAACTGACCCACATAACTAAGCTTATCATCTTGATTCTGATTAATAAACCATGAAGCAGAATAAGACCAGAAATAGGACAAGAAGAGTATATTTTTCTTAAAGACATTGAAACAAAAATTGGAACATTTATAATCTGAATGATATTAGAGCAAGCAATGCAAACGCAGGACATATACCAGTGTTTCATAGACTGCATAAAAGCATTTGGTAAAATACAACTCGAAGAACTATTTGAACTGCAAGGAAAATTTGATTTAATTAGAAAAGATATAAGAATAATCCAGAACATTTATTGAGAGCAAACTGCCTTCATATGGATAAAAGATGAATCGAACAAGTACACAAACATAGAAAGATGGGTCTTATCGTCAGATTTATGATCATTTACAGAGAGGCAATCCTAAGAGAATTTGAAGTCATACAAGGATTTATTATTAGTGGACACAATATTAATGGCATAAGATACACCGATAATACCGTGTTGATGGCAGACACAGAAAGAAAACTACATGAACTTCTAGACAAGGTATGAAAGGAAAGCAAGAAGAAAGAACTAATCATGAATTGAAATGTATTGAAATGCAAAAATGTATTGAAATGCAAAAGAAACAGATGAAAATGTGAATTGGAAGTGTCAAGGAAGTATAGAAATTTAACTATCTAAGAAGTATTTTTTTCAGTCAACAGAAAATGTGACACAGAAATACGAAAGCTCACTGGAATAGAGAAATATGCCTTCAAAAACTAAACAAAATATTAAGAAACATCAAAATTTCATTAGAAACAAAGAATTGGATGTTAAACTGCTATGTAATATCAATTCTCCTGTATAGCAGTGAATGGTGGACAATTTCCTCACAAATGAATAGGAAACTTGAGGTAACAGAAATATGGTTCTACAGGAGAATGCTGAGCATGTGAGAAGCAAGGAAAATGGAAACAAAAAGGACATTTATACTTAAAATCAGAAAGAGAGAGTTGAAATTTCTGCGATACATAAAGAGGATTTGGCGATTTGACACTTACACCATATACCAAATGCAAATGACGCAGAGAGAAACAATGTGTAGCCTAACAACCTTGTGGCAGAACAGGAAATGGAAGGGATAATAAAAAGAGAAACATTAGTAAGGGTTATAATGGATAGGAAGTTGTGGAGAGTTATGATCACCCACATCCTGAAAGGACAATGTATATAAAAAATAAATTTGGTCTATGATAGTAGAACAGGCTTATTGCAGTTGATCTTGGCCGCTTCACCCATCTCATGCCTTCTAATTTCTTTGTAGACTTCGTCAATCTCGACATTGCCTGTTACAAGCACAACATGTCTTGTTTCAACACCGGTTCCGTACGATCACCAAAGTTAAGCATCATCGAACCTGGTCAGTGCCTAGATGGGTGACCAATTGGGAATACCAAGTTCTGTAAGCTTGGATATGTGGGTGGTGTCATGAATAATGGCCCGGAATTGTTAATCAGAGAACAGAGTTCTAATTACAGTTGGGTTCGTTATATTCACTCACATTTGAAAATACCCTTGGGAAAAGTATGAATCCACATATTCTCCCCAGCTACGGGTTAAGACTTATATCACCCAAACCATTATTATTTCCCACCACCACCAAAAAAAAAAAAAAAATTAAATTGTGTACAAAATATTTAAATTTTGGCATTAAATAACTCATAGGGGTTGATATGCCGCTAAGCAAAAACAACCAACCATTTTCTATGCTTGTAACAAGCAATACCAAAGTACTTGTCCAAAATGGTAACCTATATAACAGTCCATTTTTATTAATTTTTTTCTTCGTGTTTTGCATATTATCTTGTATTTCTTTTGTGTATGTATCTCCACTTTTTCACCGAAAAACAGCATAGCATGATGAAAAAGGCCCCAAACGTAATAAAAACAAAGTTTTATCGTCAAAATGTTTCTTATTATTAAAAGGAAAGACCAAAGTATTTTTTGATTATTTTATTAAATTTTTAATCCTTTCTAGCACGTTCAAAGTTTTCGTAAAGATCTTTTTACGTTAGTGTTTTTGTGTTTATTTTTCAGGTGAAAAACATTGATTTGGAAATTCTTGCAAAAATCAAATGTTCGATTTTAATGAAACTTTCAGGACTTATTCGGAAATGAAGGAAATTATTTTTTGCGTTCTTTGTTTTTCGAAAAATTGTAGTAGACATATTGTTTTTACGTATGTTACAACCCACTTACTATTTTAGCTTCACTTCTAGAAAAAAAACTTTAACTTATCTTTCTTATTAAATTTCTATTTGAAATACTTATTTCTTAATTTGCATGTCATTTTGCAATTTCCTTTCAAGGTATTTTTATATTTAACTCCTATTTCATAAAAAAAGTTCTTTTTACTTTTTATTTTATTTTTATTTTTTTTATAGCTGTTTTGAAACAAAAACGTTTGAAAAATAAACTTGAATTCAATTCTAAATCTAATGTTTAATTTAATTATTTTTAGACTTTATTTCATTCGCATTTGAAATTAATAACTTTCAGTACTTATTTATTTGGAAATGAATGAAATTATTTTTGCGTTCATTGTTTTTCAAAAAATTGTAGTAAACATAATTTTTTTACATTCCACTTACTTAATTTCATGAAATTTCGAAAAATTAAATTGACCTCCAAAAAAATGTTTATGGTGGCCTCTAAATGACGTTTAAGCGTTGTCTTCCTCTTACTGGGAAAACCCACTCAACTTTTTGGAACTGCAATCCATGACTGTGCTTCTGTTGAAGAAAGAGGGAACCCAGCAGCGGATCGTGAGAAGAATCAAGCTCACGATGAAATTACTATCTTGCTTGCCGATGTGTTTCTCCTTCGGAAGCTATGAGGAGATTGTCAGAGTTCAAGCTACTATGTGTCTATGTAGATGCACCAGGAGGTTGTGGTAAAACTTGTTTATGTTTAATACCATCATTTCTTATCTGCGAATGAACAACTGCAACGTGTGCAGTGATTGCCTTGGACAGACATTGCCTCTACACTACTGTCAGGTGGAAAGACTATCCATAGTTTGTCCAAATTGCCTGTCCCACTCATGGAGGCCAGCATTTGTAATGTAGCAGCCACTTCAGACCATGCAAATTACTTACGAAACCTGGATTTGATCATCTTGGATGAGGCTCCTATGATCCCTTCATTTGCTCTTCATGCTACTGATAAAGCATTGCAAGGTATCACTGACATTGCTGCTGTTTTTGGTGGTAAAGTTGTGCTCTTGAGGGGGAGACTTTAGGCAAGTCCTAACCATATTGCCAAGAGGAACTCATGGGGCAATCATTGAAACTGATATTAAAAATTCTCCACTATGGCCGATATTCATCCAATACAGATTAATCCAAAACATTAGGACAACAGCAGATCAAAGAGACTCTACAGCATGGCTCTTGTATTTTGTCAATGGGACATCAGCAGTTTCACAAGATCCTAAACTTGCTGTTGATGACATAGAAGTGCCTCAAATTCCATGCGTTGACGGCCCTCTGGTGGATGGTATCTTCAACAGTACATCTGAGGAAGAGAAAAGGAGCACAGTAATTCTTTCGCCAAAGAACTCAGACTACCTCCTAATCAATAAAAAAGTTTGAGACTATTTCCAGGTGACTGTTGCACCTATTATAGTACAGATAAAGTTTTGACAGATGATCCTGCTGAGGCTGAGAACTACCCACTTGAATTTCTAAACTCTTTGACACCATCAGGAATGCCTCCTCATAAATTGAGTTTAAAACCCGGCTCAATAGTACTTCTCCTTCGTAACATTTCTATTCAGAATGGACTCAATGGTACAAGACTGAAAGTGGTGGCTATGCATCAACATTCATTTGAGGCTTCCTTGATTAGTGGCTCACTAATTGGTAGACTTGTCCTCACCCCCAGAATAAAGCTGGCTCTAAGCGACTAACTTGCCATTCACCTTGGAAAGAACCCAATTTCCTGCCCATTTGTCATATTCCATCACTATTAACAAGTCACAGATGCAGAGATTTGAGAAGGTGGGATTTTTCGTACTTCAGCCAGTGTTCAGTCACGTGCAATTCTATGTAGCATACTCTAGAGATCGCAAACTCTCAGATGTAAGGGTTAAGGTGATGGGGACAGACAAAGAAAGAGAAGAGGGCGAACTGTTACTAAGAACATTGTCTGCCGAGAGGTACTAACTTGAAGGAGTGGAGTATTTTCTGAAATCCTGGAAACCTTTGATTACATTAGGTATGTGTCCTTGGTTTATATGTATACATATATAATGAGACAAGAAATGCATCTGATTGTAATGCACGGAAAAAATATTTGTGAATTATAAAAATAAACAGACATAATGTTCGTAATTTATCGAATCAGACATGCTTAAAAGAGAATTTTCTGCTTAAATACACACACACAAACACACACATATACATATAAACCTAAAAGAGAATTTGCTGCCCAAATACACACTTTTCACTTTGTGAAATTTGCTAAAGCATTTCTTGAGTTTATGAAAATGGCGAGTGTTTCGTTAGCTAGTTTTATCGTTACATTTCTCTTCCCCTGACCACGAAGCAGGTCGATGAGGGGTGCCAAGATTTGAGAACACTTGGAGATAAATTGGCGGTAATAGTTTATTAATCCCAGGTATCGGCGGCGTTCACGGAGTGTAGTTGGTTCCGGAAATTCGCTTATTGCTTTTACTTTTTCTGGAATTGGTGTAATTCCTGAATTGTCAATGACGAAACCTAGGAAGTTGAGTTTGGGCACAGCAAATAAACACTTATCGAGGTTTATTTTCAGTCCGTAGTGGTCTAAGCGCTCGAAGACTTGCGTTACATGGTGCTTGTGGTCGTCCATGTTAGCACTAGCGATAAGTAAGTAATCAATGCAAGCAAATGAGTGAGGTATGCCACGAAGTGCTTCGTCAATTAATCGCTGGAAGGATTGCGCGGCGTTTCGCAGGCCGAAGGGCATTCGTAGGAATTCGAACAGGCCAAAAGGAGTCGTAATGGCCGTTTTATGCACATCTTCTTCAGCTACTGGTATTTGATAGAACGCTTTACGTAAGTCGATCTTGGTAAAAACTGTCGCCCCCTGCAAAGAAATCGCAAAATCAGCCAAATTCGGCACAGGGTACTTATCGGGGACTGTCTGTGCGTTAAGTCTGCGATAATCTCTGCAGGGTCTCCAAGCCCCGTCTTGCGCCTTAGGGACCATGTGGAGTGGAGACGCAAAAGGGCTCGACGAAGGGCGAATAATTCAAAGACCTAACATGTGTTGGAACTCTGCGCGCGCTAGGTTGTACTTGTCAGGGCTTAATCTGTGCGGCTTCGAAAATACTGGCGGGCCTGATGTGTGGATCTTGTGGACGGTGTGATGTTTCACCGTTTCTGTGTAAGTGAATGGGCGGATAAGTGACGGGAACTTATCTATCAAGCTTTGAAGGGAATTATCCACAGGAAAAGCGACGCATAACTTGGTCGAAGTCAGGGTGGAAGTAATTCCGATGTTCTTGAGTTTCGTCATTTGATCGGATAGTGAACGTTTCGATACATCGACTATTAGCTTATAGTGCGCTAGGAAATCTGTACCTAAAATTGGGAATTTTACGTCTGCTACAGTAAAAAGCCACTGGAAATTTCTTCGCAGTCATTGCAGGGTCATTGATAATTGTCCGAAAGTTTGAATCCGGGAGCCGTTAGCAGCACGTAAGGTGACTGGTGATTGGGTTTTTGAGCAACTGGGCCTGGGTGGGATAACACTAATTTGAGCACACGTGTCCACGAGGAATAACTCGTTTGAGTTTTTATCTTTGACGTAGAATAGACGCCTTTTGACCTGATGTATAATCCATTTGTGGTCTGAAGTTACATGGTTTGGTGATTTCTTCGCTGAGTGACCAAATCTATGATGGTACCAACATGTTGTAGTTTTTCTTTCACGAGAGGATTTGGAACGACGTCGGGACTTGTATGAGTTGTGAGTCGGTTCTCTACGTAAACGTTCCATTTGTGCAGACAACTTGTTGATCTGTTGTTGCAGTTTGTAAATCATGTCTTCATTTGGCGTGTCGTGTGGCGTTGGAACATCGACACCGTTAATAATTATAACGTCATTTATTTTGTCTATCTTCATTAAATCTAAGTCGTCAAGAAGTGTTGCTAGGATTTGGGTGGTTTGGGCGGGCAATTTATTCAACCACAGTTTACGAAATAATGAGTCTGACATGGTATGTTTCCCAAGTAAATTCTTCATTTTGCGCAATAGTTGTGTTGGTTTGTTGTCTCCCAACTGCAATCTGTTGAATGTCATTTAATCGACGTTTCTGTGATTTTCCAGTCCTGTATATTATGGCTTCTTTCAATGTGTCGAAGGGATTGTGTGTTGGTACGCTGTCTAATAGATCTACGTCTGATGCAATCTCAGGCGGTAGTTTTTCTACTACATAAGCGTAGCTTGCCATTTGTGAATGTATTTTCTTTGCCTGGAAAATAGCTTCTAGCTGTGCGAACCATACATGTACGTTGGTTGTGTCGAATACTGGCAAGTTGAGGACGGCGGCTGTTTCACTGGCAGTTTGTTCAGCCATGTTGGACAGGATTACTTAAACGCACGTGGTGAAGAAAAAATTCTTTCGCGCCAAGTCGAAGATTTTGTATGTGTTGCTGGCACAAATTAGATCTGACTAGCTCTCTTGAATCGTGTTTTCCTTGAACGTGGGCGGTAATCAATTATTTGGGACGAACGTCGGAGGTATCCAATTGTTATGGTCCGAGCGTCGGGGTTATCGATTGTTAAGGCCTATCTTAAACGTCGTGGTTGACAAATGTTATGTCCTTTTTTAAAGGAGGTGTTGCCAAATGTTATGTCCTTTTTTAAATGTCGGGGTCGCCAATTGTGGTGTGTTGCTCAGATTTGTTTTAAAAATTGTTAATAAGGTTGTTAGTGAGGCTGCGTTTTTAGTGAGAGCACATACATTTAAATTTGCAAAGAACACAAGGAAAGAAGAACAAGAGATCAAATTGCATTCAACAATAAAATATATATTGAAAATCAACGAGTACAACAATTCAATTGTGCTTATGTATTAATATTTAGGGAGAGAAAAGTAGCTTCCCTTGTACTGATAACTGATGCAAGATAGGAATAATGTATTTAAGAACTTTCTTGTTGAAATGTTTAGAGTTCAGAGAATAAGATTTGAATTCAAGAATGAAAAGTTTGTACAAAAAGGATAATAGAATTTGGTTTGTGACTTGACTTGGGACAGACAGTTAACAGTGTAGTGTAATGGTAGTTCTGTGTGTGCGTGAGTAGAAGAATGTAGATACGCGTGCGTTGCTGAGTTCTGCTGATTTATTGTTCTACTAACTTATTTCTGGTGTACGAACTGTTTAAATACTTTTGGGGTAGGCTCCAGAGAAAAGCGGGAAAAATATCGAAAAGAATATCTAAAATACACGATTGGATAAAAATTGACCAATCACTGATTTTTTTACAAAATCAAGTTAAGCAAAGTCATGGCAGAAAATTTTGTGTGGTTACTTCGATAGGTAAATTGTCCTGTAGTAAATAGTACTTATTTTCTATCCAATTATAACTGAGTATTTTGTAGGCGTGGTAAATCGGAGTAGTCACTACATTTATTTTGCCAGCCTATGAGTATTGTATGTTAAAAAAGAATAGATTTAACAGCTAAACTTTATGTATTTGTAAATATACCTGTAGAAATATATGCAATTTTACTATTTGCTGCCTAAGAATATCATTCTATTATATATGTAGAGATTTTAATTATTCCTTCTTCAATGCATTTTTTTGTGTTTTACTTCACTTTAATAATATTTTATATGTTATCTAATTCCATTGGTTAAAAAGATTCCAATGCATTTCTTATGTAACAGTCCTGCAGTCGACAAAATCTGTAAAAAAAGTGGATCACAGAGCCTTGATATTTCTCTGACTCCTCATTGGTCAATTAATACCGATATCATGTTTTCTCCTACGTCCACACGGTTAAAATTAATTTACCGCCCAAAATCTGTCTATGTGTTTTGAGCCTATCATGTAGCATACAACATTAAGGACACATCTTCAATTCTCTCTCTTTCCTGTTTTTCTCAGAACCAAAACAATGTAGTCAGGGAAGCTGCGTCTGTTCCTTAATGGAATACGCTGTGGCACACACACGTACATAGGGACATTGAAGATACCTTAATTCATCAACTACAAGCAACAGAAACAATTCAACTATTAACAGTGAGCTTCGCGGCATCAAACAATTTGCTAAACAAATTCACACCGTTTAAATCTTTGAAGTTTCTTGGATTTCCTAACATAATCCCAAACTTTGAATTCACTTATTCACCAACAAAACTACACTTCAAATTTAACATCTATGATTTTTATCGAGACAACAAGAATTCTACTCAAAGAACATACCTGTTTTGTCAAACAAACGTTTTATTCAAAAAGCAACTTTGAACATAACCTAATGCAAACTTACTTCAAGTCAACTATCTTACAGTCAAAAAAACTAAAGATTCTTAAACGCAGAATTTACTCAAAAGTTAAAAAAAGTTTATCTTTTTAAACACAAAATTCTACTTTTGATATCAACCAACATTTCATTCACCAATTTCGATTACAATAAACTTTCCTGGAAGCACACAACTTACTTTCTTCAAAGGACTTTACTCATTTGTTGAATCAACTTTATTCATTTAAACTTCCAATCTTTTTATGTTTCATGAACTTAAAATATATAGTCAATATTCAACCGGTAAAGGAAGACAACTCTTACCTTAATCTCCAATATAAACTCACAAATTGAAATTTACGATGTAAAAATTAATCTGAACTGCTTAATTCTTTTAAAATCCTTTTACTGACAGGAACACTGAATAAACTCTCTATTTGCCATAAAGAACATTCTCATTATCATGTTGTATATATTTGTTATATAAATGCTTTATTCTTGTTTTTCTAAAAAGGAATATTGTTTGTTTTATATGTCATTGATGACCTTGTGCCATACCCAACGTTAAATGTTTGTGGAGAAGCCAAAACAAACCTTCTGATATACATATTTTTCCTAATAACATACACTTCCGCAATACATTATTTTTATAGACATATATATATTTTTTATACATTTTTTATTTTTATATTTTATATATTTGAAGTGTAGTTTTGTTGGTGAATAAGTGAATTCAAAGTTTGAGATTATGTTAGGAAGTCCAAGAAACTTCAAAGATTTAAAAACGGTGTGAATTTGTTTAGCAAATTGTTTGATGCCGCGAAGCTCACTGTTAGTGTTTAATAGTTGAATAGTTTCTGTTGCTTGTAGTTGATGATGAATTAAGGTATTTTATATATGTAGAAAAAGTTTATTGTTTGCTCAACATAGTCGTTCCGTGTGAATTCCATGGGTCCAGCTACTAGAACTAGTAAAATAATAATATAAATTGTTATTTACTAAGTTCATTTTTATTTTGACATCAACAAAAATGAAGTATTCAGTGAGGATTGAAATTAAGACTTTGATCATCTGTGTGACTAGTGTATGAAGCATTATGAAATGACTTGTCAGAGCTAAAACTAAAAGATTTCTAATGACTCTTCCTAAGAAATTAAAGAAAGTGTTAAACCAGAGGTCTCCTTAAGAGCATTGCTGTAAGTATCATGCAACGAGTCCTCTGATTGGCCAACTGATAAGCTCTGCCTCATTTCCACCTTGGTGGATAATTAAGAAATTCTCTTTTAACTACTGGCGGATGACAGGTTAAAATATGATGAGCGGTCCTTCTGACAAACAACCATATGGAAATTTAATGAGCATATTGAATAAATACCTCAAATTTATATATATATAATTAGAGGTATTTATTCAGTTGAATTTCATTTTTAATTTTCTTAGACTTTTCGTTTTTGTTGTTCAGATATTTAGAATTTTATCTACATTTGCAATGGTGTCCACAACAGGTACATAAAATTTACAAGTGATTTTTGCTCAATATCTGTCTATATTTCTGAGATGAGATATTGTAACTCATTCGGACTGGTGTCCTCATCATTATTGCCATTGTAGTGGAAAGTTTGGTGGTTACCATTTATTTAATGATGTTGACGACCCAAATCAATCCATACAATTTTTTTTACTGTACGAATATGTTAAGCTAAGCAAAATGCAAAAACAACAAGAGGAAACAACAAGA